CACTTAAAAGAAGTGGAGGATCTATCGGTTTTGTGAGAAAAGAAAAGATGAGAGGTAAGTGTGTTAGCCTGACTATTAGTCTAAAACTCTGTCCTCAGTATTATATAAATCATGATAAAACACACCTACCATTTTTTCAGTTCCTGCAACTGGTCCGTCGGGTTATTGTGTCCCCAGAAACACTTCCCTTGTGTTTTTTCCTATTTCTGTTGTCGGTTTTTCCTATTTCCGTTGCAGTCCGTTTGGCCTCTCAGGGCCACCGTATATTATGCTAGTACCGTCCAATATCAATATCAGCGTTGGTATCGATACTGTCGATATCTGGCTCAATCCATCCACCTCTATCTCACATTTACACAAAGAATGTTAACCTTGTGCAAGTAAATCCATGACAAGAGACTGATGGCTCTAAACTGACTGCTGACTGTAGGTGTGAATGTGAGAGGATGTGGTTGCCTGTGTACATCTCCAGGGTGTACCCTGACTTTAGCCCTGTGTGATCTGGGATAGCGTCCATCACCCCGAAACTCGGTTAAGAAAACAGAAATGTGGAATTCAGCATTAAACCAAGGAATGTAAAATTAGGCAGAAGTAAAGACAAAATGGGAGACAAAATATCTCAAAGTCTCAAAAAAAAGGATAGATATTAAGCTAATAAGTCATCTCGCTTCCCTATTCCTTGAGGAACTTCTCATTGCCTGCTCCTCCTGAACAGAAGTTCTGAACAGCAGGTGGGCGGGGCTTCTATTCTCACATTCAGAGCTGTGTACCCAAGATGACCATATAAGAGATCTCTGGTCTCCTTTACAAAACCAATAGTAGAAAAAACTTTACTTACTCCACTAAACTCATTACTTAACATGATCATGTTTACTTTGAACATCAACCCCTGCAACAGAAAAATATTTTTAAAAGTTTCTGTCATATATGGTCAATCTATTGTAAAGTTGTAATAATGACTTTGTCCTGTGCTCTTGGTTGGGTCTCTCTTGAAAAAGGTTTTAATCTCAGGCAGACTTCTATTTGGTTAAATTAAAGGAAAATTGAATTATACTCAGTATGGGACCCTCCTTGATCAGTACAGCGAAACTCAGAGTTAATATCAAATTTGAGCTCTAAGCATATGCAAAAACAAAGGTTTTTTTTTTTCCTGATGTAGATGCACTTATGTTGGGCACCAATTGAATCACAAGATAATCACGTAAATCACAACATATCCTGTATGCACAGTGCTTCTGACAGTCGACAGCAGCACAATTACACTGGCCAAAAGACACAAAGTTTTACTTGCATTAATGGACACACCCAAAGAAATCCACTTAACATGTAATATAATTACAATGAAACCCATATATGCTAGCCTACCACACATATACTGTATATTAGTATCGACAGATATGCTTTACATGAAATTAAACTATTTTAGTGGTCTTACAAGCACAGCAGGCAACATTAGCTAAAGGCAGGGCGGCATCAAGAAGTGTCTGACCATAAACTAGCAAAACGTTCATAAATAATGACTGTATCATTTTTTTATTTATTTGTTTTTTTTTGTATAATGATGGCTGATATGGTATAAGTATTGGTGTAATATTGATTGGCTCTAAATATAAAGTTACCTCTGGCAACTGCCTGAGGCTAAAGTCTGAAGTTTCAAATGTAATATATACTCACCAGATGCTTTATTAGGTACGATTGCTGTTACAGGGTTGGAACCCCTTTTTCCTTTAGAGTTGCCTTAATGTCTTTGTGGCAAGATTCAACATGCTGCTTAAAAAATTCATGAGAGATTTTTTTGATAGATATTGACATGATAACATCAAACAGTTACTACACTTCCATGATCTGAATCTGCCTTTCCACCACATCTCAAAGGTGCTCTATTGGACTGAGATCTGGAGACTACGGAGGCCATTTGAGTAGAGTGACCTTACTGTCATGTTCATGATGATCTGAGCCTTGTGACATTATCCTGTTAGAAGTATCCACCAGAGGTCTAGAGGAACACTGCCATAAAAGGATGAACGTCATCAGCAACAACACTCTGCTGTTGCTGTGGCGTAAATCGTGCTCATTGGTTCTGAGAAACCCAAAATACCCCACAAACCATGACACCATCATAAGGTAGGTTGGATCCATGCTTTCATGTTGTTTATGTCAAATTCTGACCTTACTATCCAAATTGAATAAGAGAAATTGAGACTCAGACTATTTCCGATGTGATAAAATACCGTAAAATGCACCCACAGTTCCTCTTAAAAACTAACTTAAGATATTCAGTTTATGAAGTAAAGCCAAAAAATCCTACTGTTGTTGGGCTACGTTTGCTGTGAAACTGACAGAAACACTATATGAAGTTAAAACTATAAATATGACAAAACTAGATCAGTTTTGTCATATTTATGTCTTGTCCATTTTTTAAATCAACTTGCACAACCTGTTTTTTATATATTGTTAATCCACCTTCCATGACTGGAAAGCATTTTGAGTCAAGCTTTGTTGTTTTTTGGATGTGTTTGCAACAGCCTACAAAAACGTGTGACTTAACTTGAGGATAAATTTACAGAGAATTAACAGAAATTAGTTATTTTCTGTTATTTACTGGAGCAGCAAAGCAAACGTAGGTGTTTTTCACTGTGTGACATATATGGATACATCCACCAACACCTGGCCTAAACACACTGTACCACATTTACAGCATGTGCTCAGTCAAGGCACTTTTACCGAAAGCACTGCATCCCCATATCATCCTCACAGGTGTCACACTCCATCTCTCCTCTCCATCTCCTCCCTGTTCACCTAATGAACTCAGTCTATCTCTTCTCCCTCCGCTGTGGCAGGTGTCCAGCCCAACTGCTGAATCTCCGAAGACAACGAGGCCTGATAGCAGGGAAACAGGAGTGAGCCGGCTGCATAACAAGGACTTATTATGATGATGAAATGTCCTACAAGGCCCCAAACACCCTCTTAAAGAAATCTCTCCCACTGATAAGGGGAGTCTCAGCCTCACCCCGGACCTGTGTGGACGTAGAGGAGAAAGTGTGTGTGTGGTGGTGCGTCCTAACCTGATTGGATCGGCGGCTCAGAGGGGGCGCACGTTACAAAATCAAATGGCCGTCAAGCCGCTGTCATGCATAATTAATTGGACCTTCTACTCCCAACTACACAAAAATCCATGGTCATTCGATTAGGGGGTTTTGGAGGACTCTCTGAAGTGCATCGCTGTCTGAGCTGCTTCCCAGCTCACCGCTCTATCAGTGAGGATTGTGTCAGCCTGCACATGTTCAGCCAGGTAAATTTTAAACTTTCAAGCCCCTAATTCAGTGTTAGGCTGTTTGTTGTAAGGGCAAGCTTATTACACAGCTCGGCAATCGAAACATTTGCTGATAGTCATTAAAATTTGTAGATGCAGAAAGCCTGCAGTTCTCAGCAGGTAAAGTTGGGGGAAAAGCCACGCTCTGTGCTGAAGGCTCAGTTTGTAGTGCAAGCAGTCAGAAGCAAGCTAACCCTGTATTCAAATCTTCCATTTTCTTTTTACTTTTAGTATATAGTCTTCTGAAGCTGCCTTTGCATACTGTAGGGGTTTTAGTTTATTTATTGCTTGTTTCTGTACAGTTATGGTTCTGGGTCAGAAAAAAGCATGCAGTAAAATGTGACCAGATGGAGCATTCCCCTGTACAAAACATTACAATTTCAGGTTCACTGGAAGCAAACAGGAAGCACTGTTAACAGGACAAATGCACTCTGTAAATGTATCATTATGATTAAGTTGCTGAATCAGGGTTGGATTGCCAAACTGTGTGAGATTATTGGTGCCGCCATTAATGACCATCAGCATCTGTATGAAAAGAGAGCATTCTCAAAGGCAGAGACTACCACCGTGGACCCAGACTGTGAATGCAACAGTATATCAGCTGATCTACTGTCACATCCATCATCACACAGGCTTTGCATTAAAAAGGTTAAAGACCTGCTAATATTTTCATTCTCACATGCACTCCTGTTGGGATAACATTTAGGAAAGTTCAGGCAGCAAAATATGCGTGAAAAAGATTCAAGTGTTTGTACTTGTTTACATTTCACAAGCTTTGAGATATCTACTGACCTTTTAAGTTGGAGAGGTTTGTAATGGCCAGGCATCTTAATTTTCCTCTCTGTCTTGTACTGTCTTTACCTCGTGTTTTAATCTGACCCCCTTTTCTAGTTTTGACAATTTGCTTTTTGCTGTGAAGAATTTTGCACAACAGTTCAGAAACAGAAATCACACACTGATTAAGTGCGGGAACAAAATTTGTGTAAGATGGGACATAATACATAAGCAAACAGAAGAAAAATCAGAACTGACTTCCTGCAGACATCGAGCTTAGGACGCCATCTTTGAAGGACATCTCAAATCTTAAAATGCATCTGGAGAACAAAGTGATGAGAAGAGCTATAATCAAGGATGCATCCTCTGTGGAAGTGTGGAAAAGAGATGAGACGCACAGCTGTAAAGGCCAGCACAAAACCTGGCCAGAAAAGGCTTTTAGAGACAGAACCTTTATATTCTTTTTTTTTTTTTTGTCATTTATGATTGAAATGTTCAGTCAAACTCTCTACCCTTCAACTTTTTTTATCTGTATATTCTTTCATATTATGCTACACTGTAAATTTAATTCAAAATAGATTTAAATATATAAGCACATCTGACATCTGAGGTCATATAATACATTGGTATACTTATATTTTACTGAAATCACTTTAAAATGACGGCTTCAAAGCACAAGGGCGTCTTATTTTGTTGCCTCCTTATGTCTCTTCCTCAACTCCTGCTGCTCCCATATCTCTGATGGATGGAATAAGAGTGAGGAAAGAAGGAAAGGAAGAAAGGAACTGCAAAAGTATAATCTGGGAAACGAGAAGAGGAGGATACAATATCTGCGTGTGAATGCCGCCCCCTGCTGGACATCAGTGGAACTACATCAACTGCGCACTAGAGAAAGTACACCACAGCAGGCAAATTAAACTGCAGCAAGATTTTTATTCAAAAAAAGCATATATTCAGGAATTAAAGATGCATATACTTACATGTGTAAATAGATATTTAAAATACACAAAGTGGGAAAACAATGTGCTTCAGTAGCTGCAATGTCTATATGCACACTGTGTGCATACATGAAAATGTCTTTGAGGATGTGTTTTCCATGGTTTGTTAAGGAAACGTTTCCCTATTATTTTAGGGAAATTCCTTTCTTTGTTTTTCTTTTTATTTCTGGGTCACATCCATTATTAAAAAAAAATAATGAAATAAAATATTCACAAGCATAACCATATCACAGCTCAAAATGGAAGACAACTCCCTTTAGCGTCTCTCGTCATCGCCAAGTCTTAATGAATTCACAAGCGATGAAACAAAAACAAAAACTTTCACTGCTGAAGCTTTTACTCCATTAACACAGCACTGACATGACTTTACCAAAGGTTCCATTACTGCAGCAACACACTGCAACTGCTCTTACACTTCATTCATTGGTTGAGGACAGGAGGCTAGGCGGGCTCTTCGGTCAATTTGACCATATGGGATTGTGTGAAGATGCGTTTAGGTTATTTATGGCCAGTAAAGATGTGGGGTGGGGGGGGTTCCTGTAGCAGGAAGAAGAATTATTTTTAGAAGCAAGGGGGTCTACCTAGTTGTCTGCGTGGGGTCGTCCCTCGGGGATCAGTGAGGTGAAGAAGGTGCTGATGAAGGACCACGCGACTGTAATGAAACTCGGCTCGCGGACGGCAGCAGCAGCCGCCGCCCGGCCCTGATCCTCCGCTCTTCCACCTCCATCCTCGCCACTGTCATCGTCCTCCATTCCTTCGTCCATCAGTCGTTCCTTTGCCACAAACAAACAGAGACAAAAAAGATTAAAGACGTTCTCTTTCAGACATATTCTGGACTGACTGCTTTAAACTCCACCTTAAAATGACAGTAAGAGCATTTAAATTTTGGAAGCTCTTCCTGTGAGTTGGCAGGATATTATGTTGCATAAAGCGCTGCAAGTTTATGTTTACTTGACACATCATCATGTACACAAATGAAACACTAAAAACCAAACACAAACCAGTGAAGCATAGAGATGAAGTCAGTGTTAAGAAGTTCCTTAAACCATTTTCCCTTTGCAAACAACCCTACAGCAGAAACCTTCCTGCTTTCATTTCTGTTTTTATCAGCACATCTCTCTGCTGTACTCTCATGTTAAGACTCAGAAAAGACCTGAAATAATTTGAAAAGATATGAGTGAATAGGAAGTTGCCTATTAAAAAACAACTGTCTTTATTTCTTCCAACAAAAAAAAATAGGCCTTGTTAGAATAAATTTGAACTCTCAGTTTTATATTAGAAATTAAACTGCTACATGCTTAAACAAAAGACATTCATTTGGCCAAACTCCAAGATATTTATAATATCTAGTGACATCTACAGTCTTGTTTTGAGTTGTCACATTATCAGCAATCTGAAATTCTTTTTTTAACAAAGGATTTTTCTGTTTACAGGTAAAGGATCATCCTAGGACTGCTGTCGATCAGCTGTAAAAGCTATAATCTATAATCTATTCTATAATTTAATACCAAAAATTATGATTTTCACATTGTATGTATCCACTTCAGACATCAAGGTAGCAAAGAAATGCACAGAGATCAGCAGGCCAAGACAAGAAACTCAAAGTACAGTGCAAAGTATTCTGCAGTCTCTGCACATATTTCAAGTGGGGCAAGTGCTGATTTTTGGCACATCATCATTGACTTCCAAAGATGGGAAACAGTCCAGAGTGTACTTGGTGTGATGCAGCCAAACTTCATCAGGTCGTCTGTCAGTCTGAGAAATTTTAATTGATATTTGTCTTTGAAAACAACAAGCTAGAAAAGTAAGGCAGAAAAACAGTGACAGACAGTGCCCAGCTCACCATTTCCTGCATGTCCTGGTGTCTCTCTGCTTCCTCCTGTGGAACTCCTCCTCCTCCTCTGAGGTTTTGCTGCTCTGGCCTGAAGGGAAACCAGCCAGCCTGGTGCCTGAAACATAGACACACACTTGACACACTTGAGTAGTTTTTAACAGATATATCTAAAATGACTGACTGAAATGATTGGTGAAAATTAAGTTGCAGTAAAAACACATTCAGTACACCGTCATGAACACAGATGTGAAAATGTCAAAATTAAAAGTGCAAATTATACGTTTTTGTTTTTACAACTTCTGCAGAATTAACTCACAAGTAGACGAGCAACATGGCTCCGACCACCATGACGAAGCGGCTAAAAGAAGAGTAGAAGTAGACGATGCTGAGCAGGACGCCCACGCGAGACAATGTGTAAAGCCAGTCCAGCCAATCGCGGTTCATCTCGTCGTCATTTAGGACGGCTCCGCCCTGAGCGTTCATCTGGATGGGGTTGGGCGGCTGGTTCTCTGGCAAGGCGTTGGGGGCCGCGTTAGGTCCCAGTGGTGGCTGCACAGCATTGGGTTGGGCAGGCTGATGGGGTGAGGGGGTGGGGGAGGAGGGAGGGGAGGTGCTGGGAGGCTGCGAGGCAGCTACTGCTGCTTGACTGAGAAAATGGAGATAAAAAGAAGGAGAATAGGGAGAGAGAATGGAAACAAAA